TTGGTTGTTAGCCAATCTGTAATTGGGACCAAGCATGCTTAATAAAGATTCTTCTTCCATCCTTGATGTTGGTTTGGAGAGCAGAAGCCATAGATTTTTCTCTTGTTCTTTGAATGCAAAAAAGATAAAGAAATTTTGAATTGTTCTAATCAGGATTCAAAAGGTTAAATCCTGTTATGGCCCTGTTAAAATTATAGCTCCACCCCCAGACACTTACCTACTACCTCGAGAATAAATAGAAACACCAAAGAGGTGCTATCATTCATATTAGGAATCAATGGTATATGGTTTGATGGCAATTAGTGATCGGTGTTGTATATATTTAACTTAGTAGTAAAATAGAGAGAATTAAACTATATTATTAGCCTGCTTTCTAAGCACAGCTCTGTAGCAGATGACTGAACAAAATATTTTAGAAGCATAAAGATTGATATTTGAAATACAATTAAACCAATGAACCTGACTCTGTATTTAACAAGTCACTGATTAGCAAAGACATGTCTAGTAGATTATATTTGTTTAGATCATGGCGAAATTCAAAGGGTATTTTGGTAAGGTTCAACTCAACCAATGGCTTGCAAAACTGACAGCAAATATACAGTATGTGTCAAATAAGACTTTGGCTGATTTTGTTGGACAGAAACACTGCTGGGTGGAAGAGGTGAAAAGATAAGTCCAATTAAAACCCATTTAATATAAATCTGGCTGATAATTAGTAATTTTCTTTCAACTCGCATACAGTAAAATGTCTCCGATTAAGTTTAGAAAATATCAATGGTGGCAACATTTTTCAATCTATTTCAAATTGTTTGGTTCATACTCAAACATAACTCAAAAGTAATTTTCTTAAATTCTATTGTCTCAATTTAAGATTGAAGTTGAATGCAGATCACAAAGAAAAATAGAATGTTAGCATTTATATTTATTATTTGAAAAATTAATTCACTTTACCGAAAATACAAGCAGAGCTCATTACTCATAGCAAAATTTAAATTGACTAGGTACCTTGCCATAGGGTAATGGTTAACAGGCTAGCAGATCATTACTACAATAGTAAGTTCAATGCTCACCATATGCTTAGCTGAGGTTTTGTGCTAGGTCAAGTTTAGTAAATAACACTAAAATTGATGAACTACTACAAAACAGTTTGAAATTTCATCCTGCACTTTCTTTGAACTAGAAAGGCAAAAAATATAATTCATGGCACAGTTCATCTCATCAATGGCTAGCATTAACTTGTAAAATCTGCAGTAACAACGTGATAAAAAAAAAAAAAAAAAAAAAAAAACCCCATTGGGTTAATTTGTGAAATAGCCTCTTGATCAGGTATAAATCTTTTGTAGAGAAAAGTAAACAAGTATTACTTTTGCAATTTTTTTTTCTTTTTAGAGATACAGAATCAATCCCATGTTTAAAAAAAAAAAAAAAAATTTATGATGATTCCACAATTTAAATAAGCGGCTTTAGATTTGAATCCTTTGAAAGAACTATGATCTGCCTTTTATAGTCAACATTCCTCCTTACCACATCGCTTCTTTCTTGGATTGGGGGGGGGGGTTAATAGATTAATATACAACATCCATCCATATATGCATACAGTTGGAGGGTTGAAAAATGGTATTGTAGGGAAAATAAAAAAAAAAAGAACATATATATATATATAACGGCCAGCATCACAACAGCAGAAAAGATGGGTGTTAACTTGAATGATTACAACTTTGGCTTTGTAAAGTAATTGAAATCTCCCTGCAACTGTTACCTTGAGATTTGTACTTCTCTCTTTAACAATGAAAGGAGGCAATAAAATTTCCTGATGTCTAATTCCACCAGAAATTATTTCAGCTATATATTCTTTATGGCCTGGTGGTGCCAAGCATCCCCCAACCACCACAAAAAAAAAAAAGAAAAAAAGTTTCTAAATACAAAGAACAAGAAATTATGTGGATAGCACTATCCAACAGATTATGCTGGTTTTAATTATATCAAAGAAAAAAAAAAAAAAAAAAAACTTTTGAACAATGAAAGTAAGAAAAAAAATCAGAAAATGATGTATTTGTGAAATCTGTTGTATCAGCTTAACTTCTGTAAAAAAAAATAAAAATGAGTATGCCCTAAAATTGGACTTTAAACAAAATGTTTTTTTTAAATGCTTTGACAGAAAATATTTTTCTGTTACCTAATGTGTTTTTATTAAATTTACAGAGGTTACTTGGATTGCAACTTTGATGTGTCTGTTCTCTATACTGTTGTGATATTTGAAAAAGCCATTTTCTTGAGAGAACAGAAACTGCTGCCTTGTATGACTTCTAGATTTCTGATTTATTTTGTTCAATGTAGTTTTTCTTAATGTCTCTACAAATTTTTGCTGTTCTGAAAGAACTTTTTCCTCTTTGTCTTTGAGCAAATGTGAAATAAATTATGAGGTTCTCCTTTTATGAAGTTGTCATTTTTTGTTAAATTTCACATTTAAAAAAAAAAAAAAAAAAAAAAATCTTGTGAAAATTTTAAGCTCATTTTTTACATAGGTGAAGGGGATCAAACTTTGGCGTTTGCTTCAGTAGAATGGATATTTTGTGTTTGTGTATATATCTATCCTTTAGTGCAAGGGTGGAGAACATGTGGCCTTAAGGCTGCATACAGCATTCTGGATCATCAGATGTGGCCTCCTGCAACTTTTGAGATAATTTAGAAAAGTTGGGGTTGGATCTGAAACTAGCAAAAAATGTACTAGCTCCAGGTCCATAAACTAGAAGTTCACAAATTTTTCTTTCTCAGCAATAATTATATTTATCACTCAGAGCTTGTGTTACTGGTGATCAAAAAATACATTACTAGTGCAGCTTGAGTTGACTAAGGTATCTCTTCTAGTGTTAACTTGGAACCTTAAGACCTTTATACAAAAATAATATAGATCATCTCACTAATATTATTCTGTTTGTGACATGTCTGTTGGTCATGCCTTGGCTAACTTTTCACCCCTTTACTAACAATTTCAGCTGGGTGTGTTCGTTTTTCTTACCATGGCAAAAGAAGTCTTGATAAAAAAAAAAAAGTTTTTAGCTAGAAAGAAGACCACAAAATTCAAACCATCTTATCTGTGTTTATATTTAATTTTTTCATACCATGACTGTTGTAGAGAGCCAAAAAAAAAAAAAAAAAGTTTTCCTAGCTAAATCATCAATTCATATAAAGAAATTTGCAACAAGGTGTGAAGTAAATATTCAACCAATGAGAGGCATTGCCTTGGGGAAACTAGAGAAACAGAATGAAATTCTTGAGCTTATGTTAGAAATAAATATTCAACCACTGAGAAACATCGCTTTTGAGAAATAAATAAATTCACAAGTTGGTGCAAGTAAATAAACTGACTTATAAACTGATACAAAATGCTGCCAACAGACAGAAGACAGTAAAAAAAAAAAAAAAAAAAAACTTATAGAATAATGCAAATGTAACTAATCAATGTTCACAAAGGCCAACTGCTGACAAATTTATTTCTATGACAACTTGCAAAGAGAAACTTCTACTACACAAGAACTCTTACGTGAACAAAGGACTGCTGTAATAAATAAAAAATAAATAAAATTCCATTCTCTTCTATCAGTGAAAAATGCTCCTTGGTAAAATTATATACCATTTTGCTACCAGTGTACTTACTACTTCTCAACCTAAGTAAATATCTTCAACATTGACTCTTTTCATCTATCACCTTTAAAATGCTAATCTCACACCACTTCAAATAACTTTTTCTTTTTTTTTTGAACATTGGTTCAGTGAAAATTCCAAAGAACAAACATTGAACTTATAGTTAACAAAGAATAATTGTGTTGTACTAAAATTTGTTGCTAACTTTATATTGTTATCAATAATTGATTATAGTATAATCAATATTAAGAGATTAACAAAGGGACAGTATTTTCATTAGAAATTAGATTAATGTCTGTCTGTTATGGCCTATGAATAGCAATAAGCAATGTCCAATTTCAGTAAGGCATATATCAATCATTACTGATAGACAAGCTAGAGCTGGGAGTCAAAGCTGAAGATTTAGATGTCAGCTCCACAACCCTGCTTTTGAGGAGCATTGCCAGGTTGCTATGACCATATTTCCTTAGAAAGAGAAAGTTTGATGATTTGCCTAACATAAAATTTCCCTAATAATGACAATGCCTGTATATTTTAACTGCTTGTATTATCTTTAATTTTGATTATGCATACTGAATACTGATATAGATAATTAGCATAACTGTCAATAACAATGCATATATCAAGCCTAGTTCTTTGTTAGATAAATATTAAGCAAAGATATATATTAGCAATCTTAAAAAAAAAAAAAACATTTCTCTAATAATTTTAACCCATTAAGGCCAAAAAATTAAAATGAACTTTGAAAGAAGAAAATAAGACCTTCAATGATGAATGGGAATTGTAATATTTTTTAGTGTTTAACAGTAGTAAAATGTCTTGCTTGCTTTGTGATACGGCAATTTCAACAGTAAAAAAATGCAATGCATATCAACATTATGCTAAATTGGAAGGTGAAGCTTGAAGGATTGCACTGCAGAAACTAAAGGATGGAAAGCAAAAGCAAGATATAAAGTTGCATATCTGCTTGAAAAAGAAAAAAAAAAAAGGTAAACTATTCCATGATACAGAGCTCATAAAGGAACACATTGTAGAAGTCATAAAATGTTTAGATCCAAATAAAGTTAATATAAAAAATGTGCCTTTTAAGAATGACTAATACAGATTGACAGCATAAATTGGCCAGTAATGTAACAGCAGCTCCAAAATATTACAAAAAAAAAAAACATTTCTCCTTAGCTTTGGATGAATTGACAGATTCCACTGTTTTGGCACAAGTATTGTATTTTTGCAATAACTGACAATTTTCAATTATTTGAAGAATTACTTGCTTTAGGCACCCTTAAAGGAAAGACACAGGGAATAGATATTTTTAATAACTTCAAAAGAGAAATGTCATAAGGTTGGGCTGAATCTTAAGAAATTTGTGTGTGTACTGATGGTGCTCCAGATATGTTGGCTGAAAATGAAGGATTCCTTGCAGATCTAAAAAGAGAAGTCACAGCTCCAAATACATCAATTTATGCACCAGCAACACCTCTGCAAAATCTGCTATTTTAAATAACACCTTACAAAAGATTATAAGTACTGTGAACATGAGCAAATGTCATGAGACCATCAGTTTGGAAACATTATGATAAATGATGAGGTAATTAGTGTAGATTTGCCCTCTCAAAGATTTGCCCTCTCAAAGATACACTGGTTATCATAAGTACACATATTGGTCAAAACTGTCTTTACAAGAGCAAATAATTGACTTTTACAATGAAAACAATATGTCTTGTGAATTATCAGATATAAAATTTCATAAATGCTGCATTTTTGCATGATGTAATGACAAAGCAAAATGAGTTAAATATTTTGTTACAAGGCAGAAATAAATCAATATATGATATGTGGCAAAAACCACTTTCCTTACTTGTTAAAAGTAATGAGAGAAAATGAAGAGAATATCTATGAATCTTTTCAGGAATACTAGTCAGTTTTAGACTCATTAATTGAAGAATACAGTTGAAAATTCAGAAAAGCATAATGTCACCCTGAGACTTGCTTTTCAGCCTCAATTAGTTAACGTGTCAGATGCTCTCGAGGAGTTACAAATGGAGCTTTTTGAGTTGTCTGAAGATAATATTGTGAAAACTGTTTGACAGCAAGAAAGATCCAATTGAAATTTGGAAAAGGGTGGTAGAATATACTCGTGAACATGCACGCCAACTTAATTCAAGTTTTTTTTCAACATACAGTTGTGAATCCAATTTCTAATACTTGATACAAATCAAGAATTTGTTGAGAACATTGTTGACAGATGAGCATTTGGAAGACCAATTAAAACTAAAAATCACTATGTTAGAACCTGATATCAAAATGCTATTTCAAAAGAAGCAATGTCAAGGAAGTCATTAATTTGTCTAAAAAGTGAATAGAGTACTTGTCTGAACATGTCTTGCTTTTCATTTTTATAATGTCTGTTTTTATTAGATTATATTTATTAAATTCTATTTTATGCATTATTTACCCAAGATAAATGTGCAACTGTAAAAAAAAAAAAAAAAAAAAATCACTTGGAGAATGCAGCCTCTATGAGGGACAATGAATTTCAATGTGGCCGTCATGCACAAAATGGCTCCCCACCCCTGCTTTAGTACATGAGTGTCTCACTGTCATCTTCCTGGTCTATCATTTTGTACAAGTCGTGTTGAGCAGTGACATCAATTTGTTACAGTCATTTATTCTCTATTTCTTGTCTGGCTGAATCACAAAGACCAGTTACAACTGTAGATTTAAAATCTTAAATCATCCATATTGAAATAAAATAACATGCACAATTGTCATGAGATTTGAAAACATTTTATCCATAAAAAGAAAAAAGAAATCCTTACCAGATTAGTTTATTCTGCAAAATATTTCAGTGCCACAAGAAAAAAAAAAAAAAAGGCATAGTTTGGATCATTTTATCACAGGATTCAGAATTAAAATAAGACCAGAAAAGTGGATATTATCAATACATTTAGAAGAATAACAGCAGCAGGTTAATGTGTCTTATTACTGAATCAAAATTTAAAAAAATATTAGACAAATTTATTTTTAGGTAATATTTTGTAAATTGGAAAAAAAAAAAAAAAAAAGATTTTTGACATTACCAGATAAAGACAGGAGTAAATGTGAAGTCTAACAGCAAAAAGAAAATTTTTATTTTTGTTAATTTTAAGTAAAAAGGCAAAATATATAAAAACATTCATTTTCAATTAAAGAGAAAAAAAATCATTTACTTTCTGACACCTATGAAAATATATGATACCAGATTATAAAATTGCTCTAAAGAAATCTGGAGTGCCACTAATCATTATTCAAATCCAGCAAATTTCATTTGCATCAGTAAATTTGTATACTTATAAAATTTTAGGTATCTTTGTTCAGAGCTTTCCAAACTGGTTTGATGAAAATATTTCTTTTTATTTACATTCAGAATTATATATTTGGCTTAGCTAACAAAACAAAAGTAATGTGTTGCAAAGAAATTTACTTTTAAAAAATGTGTTACCAATATGGAAAACTCTGGTAGGAGCCATTGAGAAAAATACTGTATTTTTTGTGCTTCTCCCTCATCATTGAAAATAACCAATTTATCAAGATTTAACTTTCAGCTAACTATATGCAACATTGGTAAAGTAAAAGTTTTATGTTTTACATAGCAATTATGCTTGCAAATAAAAAGTTGACTTATTAATCTGTCATCCATGGAACTAGACTAAAAACATCCAGGTAAAGCAAAGATCATGACTTGTGTATTATTTGCTGTTACTCTTAAGAGAATTAGTAGCCAAATGTTTAGATAGGACAAGTAATGCAAAATATACACAAATAATGTGAATGTATCGAGTGATAGGCATGAAAAGCAGTCTACCAACTCAGAAATTCCTAATATAATAGTATGGACAAGAACAACAATTCTTCAGGATGGCAACATTTAGCAAACAATATTCATACCAGACAAAAGACAAGTTATTTTTTCCACATTTTTGTGAATCTGCAAAATAAGCAAGAAAGGATGTAGTCTTGTCTGTAATTAAGTGCTTACATTCATACAAAAATAAATTTTCTTTATTATCAAGAATGCAAATCTCTAAATAAATCTAATGACATATTTCAACTGAAAACATCATATTAAGATGAATTAAATAAGTTTTGAACTAAAGTAAAAGAAAATAGTCATTAATTGCATTTAACAATGAATACCACTTAACAGTCACTTTAGGAGACAATTTGCTAAGTTACTCAAGTCAATAACACACAAGACATTAAAATTACAACAATATTTTCCAGTGTATAGAATAGAGCTGATGCTATTAATATATTTCAAAACATTGTATGCTTTTGTTTAATATGAAAATTAAGCAGGAATATTTGAGAATTAAGATTAATTATATCCCTTATATTCCTTTATAATTTTGGATAAGATTTGATCAGGTTTAAGATTAACAGATTTTTTCCCAGTGTATAATCTCTTAAAGGAAAAGGGCTAATATCAGAACTTTCTACAAAGCATAAAAGGAAAAATATCAATCTTCTATGTACGTACATAGAATTGCCACCTGCTAGTTTCTGAACACAGCCATATGCTAGACCAGCTAACCAATCTCTACCGCAGATGTTGACTCGGGTACATTTGCGAATATTCAATACCTACAGTTTATGTGGTTTATTCTGCAACTATAAGTGGGCCTTAGAGAGAACAAAACCAGTATACTCAAACTCTGTCATGTTGACTTGTGACTTTGTGCAAGCACAACCATCAATGGCCTGTGAACAGTTCAGACTGACCAACACCAGGTACAAGGCTAGAGTCAACCTGTTTGGTTTACAGCAACTTCTCAAAGGTGCTGCATGCCAAGATCACCTCCCCAGGATGATAACATCAAGAAGTCAACTTCCTGACAAATCAACCATTGGTAAGATTTGAACATGGGTCACACAAACATACACTGTTGATTTAATTTACTTATGAAACATTTTGCTTTGTAGTGGATTACCAGTCTTGTATAGGTGATTAAAATTCTTCAGAAACTAATTTCTAATTAATAGAAATAAGGTTCATTGCTTTCACTACCTGCAAATACAATCGACAATCATCAAGCAAAGTAACAACTAAACTTTGCACACAATCAAAAGGCTGCATTTATCAGCCAAAAAATAACTTCTCATACCTTAAGCAAGTCTTTCAAGCTTTATGCCAACATTAATATGTTGATAGTGCTACACATTGTAAAACACTTTATTAATATATCAACAAGTCTTTCAATTGGAAATTCACGACAGCAAGAAGAGAGAAATCTTGGTGTTAAAATCATTTTCTTAATTCAATTTTTGCTACGCTACTTTCCAAACTGTTAGAAAAATAACTACTACGCATAGCCCAATTATTAGAGCATAGGAATAAAGAGCTTAAAAGGTTCAATTCAGATATTACATGAACAAAGCATGATAACTCAAATTAACCTTTATTTCAAAGAATAAAAGAAGGACACTTGCTGAGCAGTAAGCAACATTAAAATGTAACTGTTGTGTGCCCTGAAAATAATGACCATCTTGAAGGAAGAGAAGCGATATAACTAGTTTAGGAGACACCTTACAATGAGCAACAATTGCCAAAAACTTAAGCACACATCATAATGAATAGCCAACAGAAGGCATCTGAAATCTATACACTTCATGACAACTGATCAAAGAGCTAAGAAGGTCAATGAACATACTACAGTAATTTAATCAAATCTTTTAATATTAAGGTTAGCAAAAATCAAAAGTAGTAATAGTCAATATATGCATTATCTTGATCTTTCAAGACAACTAATTAAAAGACCAATGCAAAAGAACCATTCTGATATAATTGGTGATGCCCTAAATACACATAAGCAATCAACACTGTTGAAATGGAGTGCTCCAAAGTCTAATTAGCTGAAGAGATCTGATGCAATCACAAAAATATCAATTGTTTTAAACTTACAATTCTGTAAGATACAGTGCTGAAGAGAAAATAGACAAAAGGAAAATAGACCAAGGCTTTTGTTATTTGTTTAGGAAATCAACCAAAGTTAATCACCAATTCAAAATAAATTATGAGGATTAAAATTCTCATTTTTTTTCATAAATGTATATTACATGAGCTGTTTTTTGTTTTAAGTTTCATTATTTCAATCTAAAACTATAGGATAATATCAAGAGATTTTAGACAGGAGGATTAATCTCTCTACATTGTGCTTATTAAATTTCAACCCATAGTTTGACCTGTTCTTATGGGATGTTCAAGTATCATCATGCATACCCAGGGAAAAGAAAAACCAGCATTAATGAACAGACCATGTTTATTGGTTGAAATTTTATCTATTGTTCTCTCTTTGGTAGAACAGGAAACACTGGACAGAGTCACCATGAAATAATTCCTAAATAATTTTAATGCTTCAATTTGCTTATCTTTGTAATTGGTCTTCATTTTTTTTTCAGCTGCCATATTATCTGGTTATTTTTAGTGACTGACCAAGTTTTGAAGTGGAACAGAAGAGAGACTAGATGAATCACATGAACTGACATTTCTTGCATCTCCAAATTCTTATGAAACTTCTTCAGTACTCAAGAAAGCAGAAATGAGAATAAATAGGAAATTTAGCCCAGTGAAATCAAATAAAAGAACATGTCTAGATAAAAATTTAACTCTTTCTAGGACACTGTCAAAAAAACAGATTACATTAACAATAAAGATTGCTGTTGTTAAATATTTGGAAGAGAAAAAAAATGTCATTATGAGGAAGGGATTAAAAAATAAAGTTAGTAATTAAATGTAAGTAATGAATGCTACTAACATCTAATATGAAAAGTCACCAATCACCCTTTATAATAATTGTCTCACCTGTTCCATTAGAATTTTAAAAGGAATAGTAAAAATTTGATAATAGTAAATTAAGATCTAAAGAGATTCTTTTTACTCTTTGGATTTTCTATCATCTTTACAGTTTTTTTTTTTTTAGAAGCTGAGAACTTTTTCTTATCACCATAGATAAATAAAAGAAAAAATATAAGCTACACACAGAAACCACAATAGAGAAGCATATTGGAGATCACTTATTAAACAGTAATAAACAGATTATTCTGAAAGATTTTCACTGCTAGTGATTTTTTTTATCTCAACAAATAGGAATAATTGGTCAGTGATGGTATGAAAAAATAAAAGCAAAATACATACAAAAAAAAAAAAAAAAAAATTGTTAGAGATTTTCAGATTTTCAATCATTAATACTTAATAATCTACACCAGATTTATATATATATATATATATATATATATATATATATATAAATATATAAAAACCACCATCATCACTTAAATCATTCACAACTATTGCACCTGAGGTATGTGCCAGAGCTTCACTAATCCATCATCACTGCAACTTGCAATTAGACCTGGCACTTTAGGGTTCCAAGATACACAGTTGACATCTTGTGAATGTGCTTGATTTATGAAAACTACCTGTGTAAATGAAGGTTGGTTCTGATCACAATCGGGTTCCTCTCGAAATATTCTTATAGAATCATCACCACAACCTGTTACAATATCCCCAGTAAGATGGCTCCAATCTACAGCATACACTGTCCGTGAATGATAACCTGTCAGTGTGCAGACACACTTCCAGGTTGGGTTTTTTCCATCAGTAGCCACTCCAAGTTCATTCCCTGGCAAGTAGCACTGCCATATTCTAACAGTTTTGTCATCACTGCAAGAGGCCAAACGGTTTCCTGTCATGTCAAAACAACTCATCCACACAGTAGAGTGATGAGAATCCAAAGATAACATAGTCTGCCAATCATCAGCATCTTCTTTGAGAAATTTGATGGTGTCATCATAGCTGCTAGACACAACAATGTCTTGGGTTGGATGCCAAGTGACATGCTTGACATCTTGGTTATGGGCATAGATGACACTGGCACATTCATATTCTTCATCATCTGTCACTGGGGAAAAAAAAAAAAAAAAAAAAATTAGACAAATCAGAAAATTTCAAGAAACATAAAAACAAATAACTTGATAAAAGGGTATTTTTTATAAAGGTCCCAGGCAAGGGATGGGGGGAATGATATTAGTTCAATCTGTCAAAATCAATAGGAATATCACCTAAATCAGGGATCCCTGAAATTCTTAGACCATTAGCCCCTACAGGGAATCCTCAACCACCACCCCTTCACCATAAAGACAAAAAAATTTATTTTTATTTTAGGGAACAAATTGCCTTGCCTTTACTTTCATTATTGTCTCTTGATAAGATTCATTTTAGCTTTATGCTTTGTCATTCCTTTTTTAATTTCTATTTATATATCTATAGTAGACATGTTTGTTCGTATGATAATAAAAATACAAGCATACTAAAAATAAATTAACATACTTTTTTATTGAATTGGTTGACATAATAATAATTATGTTAAAAACTTCATAAATAATATTGGTCATAATAAACACATTAAAAATAAATTACTCTTTTTTTTTTTCCTTTTTTTTTTTTTATTTATTGAATTGGTTTACATCATTAATGGGACAGATGTGTTTGATGAGTAGTAGCAAAAATTTTAGTTGTAAGTTACAATTTATCAACCCCCTTTTGAAACCCAAGCATTTATCACCTCCTAGATAATTCCAAGGGTTGATATCAACCCCACTGGGGACCCCTGACCTAATTAACAGCCAAGAAAGAATTAAAATTCTGATATCAGCACACTCTTCAGTCCTATTGCCATTCATAATGCAATTTTCAATGATAAATAGGGACAGTGAGAGTTAGGATAATGTTGCAAAAGTCTCTCTCACTAGAATTAAATCTGACATAGCCGATTTGGTCAGTTCAAATCTTATTTTCCTGATAGTGTTGTATCAGGTCATCCCACAAGTGCTGTCCGAATTTTACCTTTTTTTAAAATGAACAAAATTTAAAGAGTATTTTATAATGTCTAATGGAGCTGAACATTTTTATGTTTTTTTTTTTTTTTTTTTAAGCATTTCACCCCAAGCAAGGCTTGAAGCCACTAGGACGCAAGGGGTTACAGAAAATAGGAAGATCAGATAGGAGTGATAGAAGAAAGGATGAGGGTAGTAGATAGAATAAGGCAACTGGAGATGTCGATTGACATTACACTTGAATAGCTGGAGATTATAACTCTCAGGGAAACAGGAGAAGGGAAGAGAGTTCCACAGGCGAGAGGTGCGAGACATGAAGCTATTAGAGTAGAAGAGACAGCTACATTTAGGAGTTTCAACAGTGAAGGGGTGAGAGCGGGATGCCAGCCCTGAGGGCGCTTGAACTCATGAAGTTTGGGAACCAGCTAATGCAGTTCCTCGGAGCAATTTCCATGAAAGTATTTGCAGAAAAGACAGAGGGAGGCGACGGTGCGTCTGTGAGAAAGTGACTGTAGACGAGACGCCAGGGCAGGGCCAACCATATTGCATATCCGCTTCTGGAGCCTATCAAGAACCCTGAGGCAAACAGAAGGGGCGCCAGACCATATATGGCAGCAATACTCCATGCAAGGGCGGTTGTTGATTTGTAGATCTGGAGGATCGACTCAGAGGAGAAAAACTTCCTAGCATCGGCTCAGGGAGCCAACTTTCCTCGCAGGGACGAGGCAATTGACTCGATGTATTTATTCCATCTCAGGTCAGCAGTCAACGTGAGACCGAGAAGCCGCAGAGTTGCTCTCGAGAAGTTGAGCGTCAGACATTCTAATGGAGGAAGGGAAGGCTCTCTGTGGTGATTAATAGAGAGCAGTTTTGTCTTCGAAGCGTTGAAGTTGACCAGCCAAATCATGCCCCAGTTCACAATCGATTGGAGGTCCTTTTTTGGGCACGGCAAGGTGAGTTTTGTCAGCGAGACTGGATTTGTTTTTGAGGCAGGAATAAATTGTGGTGTCATCCGCGTAGATGCCGACTTGAGAAGTTACGGCGTCAGGAAGGTCATTTATATAGATAAGGATGCATTTAAACTGATCAAATTTTATTTCAGAGAACAATAAAATTAAATTTTGTTTGATTAAAACCCTGCTAACATGGAAGTACCCAAGAATCATTTGAGACACATAATGCTTTATGAGTTCAAGAAAGGAAACTCAGCAGCTGAAGTGGCTAGAAACATTCACTCAGTTTATGGAGAGGAATGTGTGAATGAAAGAACTTGCAGAAGATGGTTTGCAAAATTCAGAGGTGGAGATTTCACCCTTGAAGATGAAGATCGAATGGGACGTCCAGTTGAGTTTGATGAAAAGCTTCTTGAAGCAGCCCTTGAAGAAAATCCTGCTTTATCAGTTGAGGAATTGGCAGTGGTTCTCAGTTCAAACCATACAACTGTTTGTCATCTTAAACAACTTGGAAAAGTTGCTAAACTTGGAAAATGGGTGCCTCATGAATTGTCTGAAAACAACCTCAAATCCCGAGTTGACATCTGCTCTTCTCTCCATTCTCGCCAACTTGTTTCACCTTTTTTGAATAGACTTGTGACTGGCAACGAAAAATGGATGTTTTATCGAAATGTTAAGCGTTGTAGACAGTGGCTTGGTAAAGGGGAAGGACCCAAGCTACAGCCGAGAAGGGAACTTCATGGGCAAAAGGTTCTTCTTTCAATCTGGTGGGATCGCCAAGGAATAATCCACTTTGAATTCTTACCACCTAATGCAACAATTAATGCTCAAATATACTGTCAGCAATTAGAGTGTTTGAACCAAGCTTTGAGGAAAAAAAAAGACCTGCTCTTGTGAATCGAAAAGAGGTGATGTTTCATCAGGACAATGTGCGACCACACAGCAAGAATCACGTCACAAAGATCAAGGACTTGGTTGGGAGAAAATTCCTCATCCACCTTATTATTCCCCGATCTTGCTCCTTCAGACTACCATTTGTTTCGTAGCTTACAGAATCATTTGGAAGAAACAGCTTTTGTAACACAGGAAGAGGTTAAAACTGACATTTGTGAGTTCTTCAATCAAAGCCAAAAGAATTTTACAGTAATGGAATTAGTAAACTTGTTAATAGATGGAAGGAAGTCATAGATAATCAGGAAAATACATTGTTGATTGAATCTGTAATTAAATGTAACATTTGGTCACTTGTTTTCTTTATTCAAAATTCGGACAGAACTTATGGATGACCTGATATATAGATGACTGTATTTACAAAAATTGGCACGACTGTATTTACAAAAATTGACATAAAAAAAATTCAACATACTTTTTAAAAAATTGAGTGTGGGAGTTGCTAAATTGTAATAAACTTTTTCATTTATGATTAGTAAATATAGTTTCTACTTAATAACAATACCACCTGACTAGAACAAACTAAAATCTTATAATTAAAATTAAAAAAAAAAAATTAAAACAATTCTTGTAAAAATTCATTATTCATTGAAATTTTTTTGTTCTTAAGACAATAGTATCCATAATATATATTATTCATGAAATCAATTAAAAGCTTTTTCTAATTAAATAATGTCTTGGTTTTATTGCATTTTTTATTTTACGATTCAGAGCAAATTTTCGGTAACTGGGGGTCCTGTTTTATAACAAGAAATTAGAGTCCCTTAGTTCTGCTTATAAACATATAAAGTGAATCAAAATTTAATTTCTTGAAATTTCATAAAATTAAATAAGTGGGGAGTAACTGATGTAAAATAAGTTTTAACCAAGATTTTCTTAAAAAAAAAAAAAAAAAAAAATTCAAGTTTCTAAAATAACTCATTTGTGAATAAGTCCTGAAAGTTTCATTAAAACCCAGCATTCAATTATTTGAATTTTGCAAGAATTTCCAAACCAATGTGTTTACACCGCAAAAAAGATACTAAAATTTCCTATAATCTTTGGTCCCCACACCGACTCCCCCTCCCCCAAAAAAGAAAAGATTTTTAAGCAAAATTTCAAAGGCTGTCAATATATATATATATATATATATATTTTTATATAAGGGTATTCCAATAACTTGGACCAATTTTAAATGGGAATTAAGTTGAAGTGTCTAATGATTTTTGCTTTTTCTTTCAGATTTGGTGGACATTTGGGCGATATTATTTTTCACACATAATTGCCATGACTTTTTCACCAATAACACTGATTTATTTACTGCTGACTTTGATCATTCTTAATGAAATGCCCTTTATTAGTTTGATAGAAGGGCCATTTAAAAAATAGGTTTTACAATCATATAAAATGTTGATAGAGACAGGCAGACACAAGATGAGCACAATACTTTCAAAGTATGTTTAAAAATTAAAAGAATGTGGAGGCAGGAGCAGTGAGATGAGTATACCCAAGAAAATTGATTTTATATATATATATATATATATATATATATATATATATATATATAAAAAATGTTTAACAGTAGGCAATGTAAGTTTTGTAAAGATAAAGCACATCTACAGGATAAATTTTCATCTAAATTACATAAAAATGAAAATAACACTGACATCTCATTTTGACAGATATATTTACTAAAATTACATAAAAATATCTTGAAAGACCAAAGAGTAAACTTATTCAATATATAGAAGCGAGAAAAAAAAAAAAAAAAAAATGCCATTGGCTTCAGTCACAGCCTTCAGACGACTCCAGAATCTGCAACTCTTCTGGAGTCATCTGAAGGCTGTCATAATCCTTTTCTTCTTTGATATTACAAGTTTTGTTAGTCTCACTCAACTGTATCCTACACATAATAATCAAGGGGGTTGTAGTCTGGGAGTTAGGTGGTCAAATGTAAGGGGGGGATGTGGTTGCAGAAATTGTCTGACAGCTTTAATGGGGTTCTCCTGCTTGTTTGGCATGGTACAGAGTCCTGTTGCCAGACTGGGTCTTCCAGCACTATTTTCTTGACCCAGAGCAGGACTACCTCCTCAAGGCACTTAATGTAGTCCGCCATGTTGTCTGAAGACGAATGGAGGCATAACGTTGCCATCACTAGTGATCACTCCAAACACCATGATGTTGACTGGATATTTAGTTTTCATAACAAATGGTACATCTTATCCTGGCAGAAATTTTTCTCATCTGAGAAAAAACAAAGCATGTTCGGTTGGAGGGGATGCTCAAGTTTCTTCAAAAGCTTTGTAGCATGGTCTTTCCTCTTGTCTTGGGATAAAAATTGGCCCTTTTTCATTTTGTAAGAAATAACAAATGTCTTTTTCATGCACTACCTGCCAGATAAGAATAAGTGTTCCTGGCTATGGACCTGATTGACTTGGAGGTATCATTGTCAATCATGGCCTGAATCTCACCAACAAATTTGGAAGTTCTTTTCTTATCAAAATGATCAGAGTGAGTTTTTCTGAGCTGCCATACCTTCATAATCACCATTAGACTCATCCAACTCTTTCTAAATCCTCTGCACTGTCCTCAGATTGACACCCAAACACTCTGAAATATTTATATTGGAGCTTCCGGCAAAAACGCCAAGCAATACAGCATGCCGTTTCCAAATTTCTGGCGGAATGAATTGCACCATGGTGCACTTTTTCTCGCAGATGCGCCCAACTGACACTACTATACTGAAGTTGACAAAATCAAAAACAAACATTTGTGCAAAATTAAAAATATGATATGGTGACAATTTACCTATCCCACCCTGTATAGCAGTGGAAGTGTTAAGAATTCTGTAAAAAACACCCATGAAATTTATATTAAAAAAGCAAAACCAAAAAAAAATTCAGTGCTAAAATTCAAGAATGTTATACAAGAATGTATGTAAACTCATTTAACTCTAAAATGTTCATTTTATTTTTTTTTATCTCAGCCTATGTTAGAAATAGTTTTGCTGGAAAAAAAAAATATTGAAAGGTATTTTAAGGCTTTGTCAGATATAATGTTATACGGATGTAGACAAAACCTGAATTTCATTTACTAACCTTAGCCTAGAGTACCAGCGATTATACTTACTATAATTGCAAAGTGGTATATCAGTTTGCTAACCATTGCACTCTGATACACACCCAAAGGTTTATACACAACTTAATCACCAACATAATTGACTAACCATCACAAAACAGGTAATTTACTCTTAGGTCTTAATACAGTGAAGTGGGGAAGGGGGAGCTTTAATAATTCAGGAGGGATTAATTCTTTTCAATATACAATAAACAAGAGGGGGGGTCTGAAATTATTTGATGGGTCAAAAAACTGCAAAATTAATAAATGGGGTGGTCTTATTAAGCTTGGGAAATAAAAAAAAAAAATGGAATTTGAACTCAGCACCCTAATTTTTTAATTCTGAGCTGCTATCCATGCTGTATGAGATGTGTGCCATGGGATAAATTTACTATGAATTTACATAGCAAACTGCTTCCCCACCATTAACTTTATAAAAAAAAAATGCTCAATCTAAACTGCATCTAGAGATTATATGCAAAAGAGGTATTGTCAAATATTTTATGTAAAATTCATAGATATGTGTTATCCAATGAAATAATTTGTACTATTATGTATAGCGAGTAAGCATGAAAGCAATTAAGTCCCAATTTTCAATTTCCGATTGATATTTAGTATTTTTTCAGTAATTATAGCAATTTGCAATGTCAAGAGATTATTTGCAAAAACTATGGTATTATGGCTTGTAAAAAAGAACTAACAATGAATGAAAAGAACTATATAATCAAAGAAATTAGCAAAGGAAAGTCTTCGCTTCAAATTTCTAAGGATTTGAAAAGGGATCATCGAACAATCAAGAAAATATGTCAAATGGGAATTGAACCAAGGAAAAAAAAAGTCTCAGGCTAAATTCAGGAATTTAACAAAGCAAGATCTATCACATATCTGAAGAGAATTAATAAGAAACCCAAATGCGTCAAGTGCATTCATATTTGAGGCCACTGGAGCTCCTATAGTGTCAAGGGAAACAAGGTGTAAAGCATTAAGGAAGTTTGCTGATGTTAAAAAATCAAATAAAGAAACCCATTTTAACAAAAAAACATAAGGAAAGAAGATTGCAGTGGGCAAAAAAATACATGAAAACCGATTTCAGCAAAGTGCTTTTTACAGACGAATCAAGAATGGGCCCGAGGGACGGGTTTGCAAGCAACATGACTCAAGAAAATTTTTTAAACACCAACAAAGCAGCGGTGGGATCATGATATGGGCTGGGATTATTGGTAATGAGCTCGTGGGCCCATTTAAACTGAAAGACGGGGTTATAATGAATTCCAAAAGTTACTGTGATTTTCTAGAGCAATATTTCTTTGAATGGCTTGATAACCAGTCTTTAGCCAAGCGTAGATCTATGATCTTTATGCAAGACAAGGCACCAAGTCATGCATCAAAGTTTACTAAATCCTGGCTGAAAGAAAAGGGATTTGTTGAAGATTCTCTCATGGACTGGCCTTAAAATAGCTGTGACTTGAATCCCATTGAGAAACTGTGGAGCATCCTCAAGAGAGATATTTATTCGAATGGAAGGCAATTCAACAGCAAGTGTGACCTCTGGGAGGCAGTTAAAGTTGCTGCAAACAACTTACCAGCCGCTAAAATTGCAAATCTAACATCAGATGTTGACAATAGGCTGCTAAGAGTTATTGAAAAGAAAGGAGCATTTGTGCAATAAATTGTAGGAGGTTCTTATTATTTTTTGTTAATATATCTTATTTTTAAAATAAAATGTTTTTTATGTTTTTCCTTTAAGAAATTGATGAATTTGTTCTAAAATCTTTTCATATTATTCTTTTACATTAGTTTTACAAGGTATAATAATGTAAAAGTATCAAAATAAATAGTTGCAAATAAACTACTGACAGTCAAAGTAGTCGGTTTTGTAAACTTAGTAAAATTTTTTCCGACCAAAAACAATAGTTTTCTCTATCACTATATATCTAAGTTGATAATATTGAGTAGAATCTAAACAACATCACAATAAGACTTTTAACATTAAAGACGCAACTCTTTATACCAATTCATAACTTGCATATAATCTCTAGACGCAGTTTATAAAGAAATGAAAAGAAAAAGTGAAAAAGTTATTTGTGGTTGCAGTGGCTATCATACTACTCCACTGAAATATTAAATATTTATCTTGGAAACCAGCTTTTTGTTATTAAAGTCTGCTAATAAATTTATTCTGTCCACTTTATGATGAATAAACAACAGCAAACAAAAAGGAATTTAAAGAATAGTGAGAGAGGAAAAAATTTTCAAGTACCTTCCCAAATCCACACAGTTTTGTCACGGCTACAGCTTGCAAGGAAGTTACCACTTTGGGACCAGGCAACAGTCTTCACTTCATTCTCATGTCCTTCCAGAGTAGCCAAACACTCAAATTCTCCTCCTTTTCGGCTCCAAATGCCACATGTTGCATCAAAACTGGCACTGGCCAAATAATTGCCACATGGTGACCAAGCAACACTGCGAATGGTACGAGTGTGACCATCAGTCAGTACAGATTTGCAAACCCAGCGTTCACCTTCCTGCCCCCAGATCCGGATTGTTTTATCTCCACCACAAGAAGCCAATAATGTTCCTGTTGGATTCCAGGCAACACACCACACCTGCTCTTCATGGCCAGACAGAGTGGCAACATTTTCTGCCAAAATAGACATGATTCTTCTCACCTGTAAAAAGAGAAATATTCCAAATATACAAAAGCAAACTTCCTTTCAAAAAGAAAAGAACAAGATTTCTTTCCTTATTACAGTAATTTTTTAGTTTTCCTTTCTTAAATTTTTGCTGACAGCTGAATGTCTTTCTTTACATTAATTCCTTTTAACCTGTCTTTTGTTATTCAAAAGTGCTAAATTGGTAATTCTGCTTAAAAATCTTTGACTGACTAAACTGGCTTTACATATCACAATAAGTTATTGGTAAAACATGTAACAAAAACAGGAAGTTATGGAGAATCATGATCACTCACAGACTGAAGGGACATGGCTCATCAAAGAATGTTAAAGCTTAAATAATAATTACAAATTAAAATCATCAAATTGTAGTTAAGAATGCACAAGTTAATAAATAAACAAATTTAAAGTAATTTTTTTTATTTATTTTCTTAAAATTTAACAACCCTAATGAGTAAATGTATTATTTTGTGATAATACAACAAAAAATAACTGATAGCAAAAAAAAAAAAAAAAAATTTAAATTGATAAACCACCAATACATTAATATCCAAAGCTTCTATTGACAAAATGTTGGTATATTTGAGGATATTATATTCTGCATTTTACTTGGTTTTATTAAAATATTAAGTTTTATTTGATTCAACATTAATCAATGCAAAAAACTGACGAGACAAAATAAACATTCCTACAGACGATGGTTGCAGCAGGGAGGATTGGCATAAAATTGGAAAATTTTGAACTCTTCAAATCTCCTATAATATTTATTTGAATCTTGATAAAAACTAAACATCAAAAAACATCCATTGTCAAAATGAACAGACAAAAAAAAAAAAAAATTGTCATCAAATCATAAATGACTGACCATATAAGGATTGGATGGTGAGTGCCATTTGGAATTTGAAATGAGTAAAAGGAAGGTTATTTTAAAATTTGAGTTACAAAATAAGTTGTTTTACTTTTTGTTACTTGTTGCAAATACAAAAAGGCTGTCCTGTAGCTGAAATAGCTGCATGGTCGATGAGTTTAAACACCAGTAAAAGCTTATAAATACTGATTTACTATCAAACTCCTCTTGCCATATTTGACCTTAAGTTTAGCCACTATCAATACATGGTCCTACAGTATCAAGAACTTGGATGCTGCTATCAAAGAGATAAGATTGGTAACATGAACAAGAACCCCTTGCATGAAGTCTCTTCCAAGATAGCATCAAGCATATTCTGGAGACTAAGTGTGATTTTACTGGAAACTTTCTGTTTTTCTAAATATATTCCAACAATGTTACAAATTTGGCATAGTTTTAACACCAGTCAGTCCATCTTGAGAGAATAAGGTATAGCAGGGTGCTACAAGCCTAAACAAGACCTATGGAAATCTTAAGTTGCCCATACAAGAGTCTTCACCCCATTTTGAAGGATAAACTAATAGTTTGGTACTGGGGCTGCTGCAAGTATTGTTGGAATTATATGCTATCTATTTACCTTCAAGACTCCAATCTGAATTGGATTAATTCATTCATTTATTCTCTGACTTATCAGCCTTTGCAGGTTAGTCAGAAAATATTTTAAGGATGTAAGAATTTTTTTTTTTGATATAATGATTTAGTGATAAACAAGTATTACTAATTAACCCATAGCTAGAGTGAGAAGAAGTGGATTCTAAAGGTATTTGTGTGTAAGTGAATACAATGAACCCAACTAGTATTAGCCCACTGATTAACAATTTTGTGCAATTATCTATTACATCACCCACACATCCAAGCTTACAGCACCTGGTATTCCCAAATGGTCACCAATTTAGGTACTGATCAAGCTTGATGTTGCTTAACTTCAGTGATCATACAGGAACTGGTGTTTCAATCTGATATGGCCATAAGCTCAATTTTTGTAAAGTTTACTCTTTAGTCTTCTCTTTTCTCCAAAGATAACCATGAGGCAGTTGGTGGGGTGGTCAATTCAAAGTTTTCCCATCTCTAAACTGGCTGCAAACCAAAACAAGAGTGCTCACTCTTCCCAGCTATTTAAGCCATAGAAGAATGCCATCAGTGAACAAATCTGTTAAAACAGACAGTTCCTTAGGTTTAAAGGAAAAACATCTTAATACTTTGCATCTTAGCTTCTGAAATGCATTTTGAGGATATCCACTAGACTGATTTTTCCTTAAAGTTTAAAAAGAAAACATCTAAAAATCAGGCCTTATTGCCACTGAATGTTGCAGTTTAAGGGTGTGTAGTGTAATCTGTATGGTATGTAGATACTAAGAAGTGTATTTATTAATTTACTGTGACTGGGTTTTTTGTTGCCTATTGCCAAATGAATGTTAAATATAAAGGGAAGACCTTAAGTTAAAATTTTGTAGCTAGACATTTCCTGCTTTTAAATAATGAGCCTTACTCATAAATCATCCTGAAATTGAACCATCACCCACATGTTTGAGAATGCAATTGTGTACCCTCTAGTGACTCAGAGGATAAGAACTAGGTTCAAATAATATGACTCAAATAGCATTACCAAACAAGCCATGACAATTAGTTTTGTGCTAAAATTTAATTAAACTTTATTAAAAGGACAATTGAAAGTAACAAATGTTTGACTTTCAGGGATTACAAGTCATAGTTGTTCTTTAGCAATCAGGGGGGTAAAATAAATAAAAATGATAAATACAACAGAACTTGATATATTTGGAAATAAATTCAGAATTTACAATATTATTTTGACTTAACTAGTGACATTGATTGTCACACACAAGGTTCATTGACCCCCCCCCAATCCAAAATGGTACAAACTAGAAATATATATAGACACACAGTCCACCCACATACTCTTGATTACTGCATTTTCCAGTGTGTGGAATACAATCTGCAGTTTCCCCACAAATGATGCCATATGTTGGATGAACTTAGTGTTATAGTGGAACACACCTATTCTATAGTTAATAGACTCTCCCACCTATAATAAGTAGTAGTAGTAATAGTTGCTAAGTCGCTCAGTGAGTTGGTCAGTTAGTCGATGCCGGACGACCGTTAGTCGGATATTAAAGTATCAGCCACCACAACTAGATTACTGCGTCATTACCTATTATATCAGGTTCCTAACGTTTTGTACGTTGAACCTATTTTAGGACCGACTTAGTACAAATACAAGATTCCACTGTGAAACTACTCTACAACACATAGTCAATATCTACCCTTTAAATACCTTATACATCATAAGTTGGATAATAAGAAGCAAAAAGAAACATTAAATGTAAAAGTCTATTAAATACAGGAATGGTTATTCGTTGTCAAATAGTCCCAGGAGCTTGATTTGAGAAAGACTAAAGAATATTTTGCCTGGAAAGACAAAACCAAAAAAACCAAAAATGATAATATTAATTCAATTAACAAATCATTCATTTCCAGAGATTCAGACAATGATTCTCAAAGGCATTTGAATGTCAAAACTGGAGGAGTAAAAAAAAAAATTGATGTGAACATTGCTTAGATCAATGTTTCTCAACCAGGATCCATGTAACATTACTGAGGTCCACAGTAATATGTTAGTGGTCCATAGAGCAATTTCACTTTGGAATGGTTGTTACAACTGACAATTGGAATTTCTACAGTATTAAAATACTAAAAATAGAAAAACTCTAAAATTAGCAGAAAACAAAATCAAGCAATGTCAGTTAGCATTCCTTTGACTCTACTGAATGTTTTGACTGCAGGTTGAATAAAATCTAAGAAGGATAATATAAAGGAAAATTATATAAATTCATAAACTTATCTATTAGTAAAAAATAAAATAAGCTTTTTTATTCATTGAATGGTTATGAGGGTCCATGAAAAAAAACTAAGAGTAAAAATGGTTTATGAGTAAAAAAAAAAAAAAAAAAAAAAATGGTTGAAAACCACTGGTTTATACTATAATGAAGCCTTCTTGTATTTATTAGAATTATGATGTGATGAGAGCAGAATTTATGCAAAATAAAAAAGATAAATACCAGAATGCCTCTTTAGATTAACAATTATCAACTTGTACAACACAAATCTCCAAGCAGCTTTCAGATAAGAGACAAAGGCCCATGATTATGAATAGTACAGATAATATTATCAGTTTCCTTATAGGAAAACATTCAGCATTCATTGACCGAGCAGTTAGCAATGTTGTTGGTTGAAATTTATAAAGTATTTATTAATTTTTCAGGAAAATAGGTTTCTCAAGTTCAGTCACTGTTATTGCTCTTACCAGTATTGATGAAGGTTTCCTTCCTAACCTTTTATATGAAATAGCGTGGAACGTCATCTTGATTACCTAATTATTCTCACTTCAACTACCTATTTTAGTTGTTACTGCTGTTGAAAGTCCCAAGTGAGGCTGTGTCTCTTATCTGTTACAGTTTGATTCTGTAATGCTAATCTATGAGGTTCAAATGAGGATGGTCCTCACTAAGACCTACAGGTTTCATTTGCTCAAAGCCATTTTTAACTATCAATCTGAGAAAGTGGTTGTATACAGCTGACAGTTTACATATTTCTGAATGGGGTTGGCAGCATGTATTGCATCCATATGAAAATTTTGATATGATGAGACTAAGATGATGAATTGAGTTTTCAGGATTTGTAGCAGTTTGCAATGTTGGAGGAAACTACTACAACCTATATATATTCAATTTCCTTATCTTCAATACTAAATTTGTTGAAACTGATCCATAGGTATTTGAAGTGCTTAGTATTTACTAATTCTACATCCTGGATTTTTATGAAGGATTCAGTGTATGCACCATCAGTTTCATTCCAATTCCAGATCATTGTTTCCATTTTTAGAAAGGTTTATCTCAAGTCTTATTTCTTGTTATACTTGGTAGAGGAATGAGAGTTTTTAAGAAGACTTACTTAAACTGGTGCAAAAGTCTTTCTGCCTGTCATCTTGTGTGATACTAAATTCATTAAATTTCTAAGCAGCTGTTAGTCAAAAATAAATAAAAATTTAATTCTGATGACAGATTATCATATAAGAGAAAAAAAAAGCTAAGCTAATTATCAAAAGTAGTGCTTTCAAGCTTCTTTTAACTTAGCTCCCAGGTCACATATCTAGTGCCTAAACTCCTGCAACTAAACGAAGACACTTCTTTCTTGGTATTAAGTAGATGACAAATTTAAAAGAATGACTAATTTAACACTGAAAACACATATGCATTTTGGCTTTTCTTAGATGCCATTAGATAAGATGTTGCCAGTGGCTATATAACTATACCTATAAACCGAGAGCAGATATCGCTTGTCTGATTTGGCTAGTGTATTGTGCGTCTTTTCTAGATAAGATACAAATGTTCAGATTTAACTTCAGGCAACAAAATAAAATGAAATCATGCGCTTGTGTAGAACTTGTGTTAATTTTATTCTTTGTAAAGTAGACATGTTCTATAAGCATCATGGACTTAGATTTTGAAAATCGACTGCCTTAGCCAGGTATCGAGTTCAATACCTGGTTAAGGCAGTGGAGAATTCGGAGAGGTGATAACTGACATCCATTAGACATGGCAAGTGGAACGGGATCAGTCTATCTCAAGAAGTGAAATAAAGAGTTCAGTTCGACATTCCAACCAACTGAAGAAGGCCAGAGCATACAATGGCTGAAACATTGTGAGAAATATGGCAACAGAGATGAGGACAATAGCCCAAATAATGTAAATAGTGAAAATAAAAATTACTTGGTTTTTATACCACCTACCTACACGAGGCAGTACTACCTACTTTGAGAATTGCAGATCTAAAGCAAGGTCATACAGTAAACTAATGAAGTTTTGTTGAACAAACACAAATGTACCTGAGCAGGTGCCTGCAACAGGGATTGGTTAGCCGCTACAGCAGACAAGTGCACTCAGAAAATGAGAGTAACTGGCAATTCATTACGGTAGAACAGAAAAAATATTCATAGAAGTGACAAACTGGAAGGTATCATATAAATAACAAATTGCGACAATTAAAAAAACAAAAAAAAAAAAAAATTAGATTTTAGATACTTTTGATTACAATATTACTCCTTTATTTAAAAAAAAAAAAAAAAACACTATTCAAAGGAGATGACTGCTTCTTGTAGTAACTAACATCATTTGATATAAAGTGGTTGACTTCTGTGCAGAAGAGATGGTCAAATTGATAACTACTGGATCATGTGATTAAAAGGTCAAAGTAGTAAAGTTGACATTTATATTTGTATATCTGAAGATGGAAACTAAATGTACTAAAGTAATAGACCATAGATTAGCAAATTCAAGATTTGTTAAACAATTACTCATAAATAAAAATGATTTCAAATGTAAAATAGATTGATAACTTTAGTAGTATTAGTTGTGAATTCAAATGTTCTATTTACCTTGTAAGGGTGCTCCAATAACTTGGACTGATTTTAAATGTGAATTAAGTCTAATGATTTTTTTTCTTTTACATTTAACAACTTAAGTCTTTGGCAATTTCAACCATGGAAAGATTAACAATCAAACAATGTGTTAAAGTTATTGAAGCCTATTATGAAAATGAATGTTCAAACAGAATATGAATGAGAAGTTCCCAGGCCACATCATCTCTTGAAATAGCAAAGTCAATTGGCCACCATGATCATGTGACTTGACAACTTTAGATTTCTTTTTTTGGGGGTCATCTCAAAAGTAAGGTCTATACCAACAAGCCAACAACACTTCAACAGCTGAAGGATGAGATAAGGCATACTGGTGAGATCAAGGAGCAGCTATGCAGAGATGTCATCAAAAATTTTGACCATCGAGTGGCGGTGTGCTGCTGAAGATTTGGCAGACATTTGGGCGATATTATTTTTCACACATAATTGCCATGACTTAAATAACATGATCCAATAGAGAAATAAATGAATTTTCACCAATAACACTGATTTATTTACTGCTGACTTTGACCTGTCTTAATGAAACCTCCTTTACAAGCAAATTTTACTTTTGTTGCCACAATTCTACAGAAGAGAAACCACCTAAAAAAGATCATGAATCTATACCTAATCTCTCATTTCCTTTCATTACTTGTCACTAGAGCATGTTATCTTTCAAGCATTCTTTTATCCTCCCACTCAGTTTAATCTGAATCTTATTGCTGGACTACATTCCAAGAGGAAATAGTTCTAATGTTTATGTCTTTTCCAAAAATAGGAGTACAAAATAATACCAACACTAAATAATCTGATATAAGATATGAAGTAAAAAAAATCTCATCAAGATTTGATTAAAAATGATAATTGTATTTGTAATTGATTTTGTTAATGGTTTATTAACGTGAGCTTGACAACATTACCAATGAAATTAACTTACTGTGTTCATACATTCAAATAAGAAATAGAATTCAATGGAATAAAGGGCATGGTGAAATAAGGGATAAAGTGTGTTAGTGTTACCTGAATCTTCCAGCTCTTAAAACTGGCTCCAGAAGGAAACTAATGCTACAACAGTTTTGCCATTTCCAGACATCTGAAAAATTAAAAACAATGGTCACAGGAACAAAGTCTACAACAATTAGATGATATTAATATTATTTTACTGACTTCTAACTTATTAGGTATACAATAGGAACATTATGACAAATTATAAGACATTTAATATCATTATTTCATCAGAAAATCTTATTTTAACATGTAAAGACAGAAATGCTGTTTTCTTTAAAAAGACAGTTATCATTCAAGATATAAACTGGAAAAGACTTTAATTACACTAAAGTTTAATGTGCTGAATCCCCACATGTACACAAAAGAAGAATTTGAAATCTATATAATTTTTTTTTCTTCTTCTTGGCTTTGTATGTTTTAAATATCAGCCTATGAAATAGAAATTGAGTATCTCAAAGTAATAAACAATCAATTGGTCCACTGGTCACAAAACTGGTCAAAGTCAAATTTAAAACCTGAAAATTTCTTGTTGATCTCATTCAGAGCCCCTTTTTAACATCAACAAACATTTGGGGGTAAAAGAGCCTCCAGAAATTACAGGGAGATTCAATTTATTGCATGCATTTTAAGAAGATTGTCAAAAACCATTTTACAAACATTAACTAATAAGATTGATTCACAAACTTGATTATACTTCAAATCTAAATTCTGTCATAATCAACAACCTGTTGGGTGCCCTCTGTATCACATTGACTAGTAAGCCTGTATTACAGAGCCATTTGCTTGCATAGTATATTTGATCTTCATTGAATGCTCCATTACTGTGGCCTTGTACCAGATAAAGCTGTTATTAGCAGACTTGCTTTGTAACTGATCTAATTCTCACAAATGCTAGTGGTTGGTGTTCAAATCCAGATGAAATGTTTAGTTAGAATTTTGAATACTGATATTTATAGCAAGCCGACAGATTTCTTCACTTAGAAGATTAGTGAAATACTACCTTCATTAATATTTGGCCTTGTTCCTGGACTAAGAAAAACTTAGTAAATAGCACAATCAGCAAGCTTATGATATTTTGGGAATAAATATATATATATATATATATATATATATATATATATATATATAATATATAAGAAAAGAACAGTAAGATATATAATCCGTGTTCTTATTAATATTTTATTTTTACAAAACAGTGCTCAATGCAAATCTACAGAGCATAAATATTATAAATTTACTTATTTAAAAATATGGTTCCATTGCTACACAGGAATTATCATGTTTCAAAAACAGAAGGTAAAAACTTCAAATTAAATTATAGAATTTTAAATTTAATTAAAGTCCCTAGTTATGTTTTATTTTCAAGTGAATTTAGGAATAACTTATCTTGAAATTTACTGAGTTTTATAAGCACATACATTCATAATATTAGTTTCTATGGATATGGGGAAATCCAATCATTTTAACAAGGGGCAGTATGGTATTCTTTTTCACTGACAACTATTGTATCAAAAATTATGAGTTACTTTTGAAAAGAGGTTAAGTCAAAGTAGGGTAGGGGTGTCTTTTCAAACGAATGATGACATCCGTTCAACGCATGTTGTATGGTCTTTTCCAACGGCAAAAAATTTTTCAGCACTTTTGTTTCACCGTTAAATTTGTACTTGTATACATAAAAATTTTTTCTAAAAGGGTTGTTTGTATATGAATACATCGTATTGAACTATAATTTTAAAATATTATTCTTAATTTTAATTACTAATAGACTATATTTCTTTTAAAACAAATAAAAGTAATAACTTATTTAAAAATTATTATTTAAATAGCAAATATAAATATGTACATTTCATTTATCAGGTTTTTTTTTAATCTAAACATTACTTAAGGAAAATTTTTGACAATGTTGGCAAATAATAGCTATTTCATTTCTTTGATTAAGTAAATTTTTATAAACCTAGTAACATATACTTTCTCATGTATGCACAAAGGACATGGGTCATTTCAAAATAAGTTATTCCTAAATTTGCTTGAAAATGAAACATAACAATTCCTGTATAGCAATGGAATCATATTTTTAAATAAGTATATATATATATATATATATTTTGAACAATAAGAAAATTAAAAATTAAAAAATTAAAATCATTAGACACACTGGGTTGTAGATTAATATTCTTTCGTTTTTTTTATTATTATTATTATTCCATTTAGATTCCTCGACTAGTTTCGACCGAAATGGCCATCATCGGGAGGCGAAATATTTCTGCTTGCTGTTGGCAGGGAACTACAGAAATGAATGTCTTTTGTTGGAGAAAATGAACTTTTTTCTATATGGTTCCATTGCTACACAGGAATTATCATGTTTCAAAAACAGAAGGTAAAAACCTCAAATTAAATTATAGAATTTTAAATTTTAGTCCCTAGTTATGTTTTATGTTTTTATATATATATATATATATATATATAATATCTTGGTAAGAAATAAAAAGAAAAGTGATTACAGAGAAAATACCAAGAACAAATATTAATAAGCAGCCAGTATATAATAAATACTTTTTCATATCACCAATATTCATAAGACCTTC